GTTACTCTTCATGTATACTTTAATTCCAAATTGAACCCTTAGAATTTTAAAAGTTGAAATTCAAACTTTATGGACTTCATTAAATTAATTAAAGTGTTTGATTAAAAGAGTTAATGATTTTCATAAAGACATGGTTTAAAGTTTAATTAAATTAAGAGTATTAGTTTAATTAAAAGATTAAACCACCAAGTATTTTAAATGTTTAAAATACACCCTTATACTATTATTATAATTTTAATTATATAGATATGTATAGGATTAAGCCAGTTTTACCATTAGTAGGCCTCATTCACGAAGCCGGTCTATAAGGGGTATAAGGTTACTGCTATAAAATGGCAGTTTTAATGGGTGTCCACTCTCACCCACCGCTTCCTTGACTGGTGGAGGGTTGTTAGCCGAACGGGTAGGAAAGGACTATAATTCTCCCTTCATTAAAAGTATAATGATAAATACTAAGTAACCAAACACTTAAAAATTCCCAATCTTAGTTACTTAGGAAAATGTGAAATAGGTGCTAACCCATGAAATTACACTTTGTACCTTACCAAGCCGTTAGTGGAGCGTGTGTGGTTAACCGGCACACTAATAAGGACTAGTAAGAGTGGCAAAGGGTAACTTGACTTTATTATAGATCGGTGAAGCGTGTGTGGTTAACCAGCACATCGATTAGGTGATAAAGTTAAGGGTACCAAGTCAATTTGCATGGTTATTCACACCTTGTTTGTGATCCTCGGCATCCCAGTCACAAACTTGAGAGGGCACAATCGAGATTCAAAATGCCATTGAAAGTTCAATGTATCTCAAAAGATCTAGGAGTTTCAAATCCAATTAAAACTTAATTATATTTCGTTTTTCATGTTGAAAATTGGTAAATCGTCATTTACCTACCTTCAACTATTTTATAATTTGGATTACGGCATCCCTCTTCCAGTTATAAATAGGTTATTGGGTCCTAGCCTTAATATTTCATATTGGGCGTTATATTAAGGACTTTAAATCAACTAACTTTAATTTCTCCCTTATAGATGTCTCCATCAGACATCTATGGTCTTCCTAAATCCTTAGGAACAAGCTTTCCTAATGAAGATGTAATCCCAAAAGGCAATCAAGGAGAAAGATCAATCCCTTTGTTGTGCATTAATGGGACTGGAAAATCATGCTTCACTTCTTCCACCTCCTCCAATAAATCTCCCTATCCGACAAGTTTCAAGACTTGATAAGTTCTAGGTCACTCAATCCCTATTGGCAAGCAAAGTCTATATGTGCTTACATCTTAGAGGTTAAGTCACATATTGAATAGCCGGGAGAGTCGGGTGTCGAAGTCTCGAGGTAGCTGGTTGTTGACTTGGTTCTTCAATCACTCCCTGATGACAGATCACGATATGACCCTTAATGATCTTACCTATTTGCTTGATGATGCTGAATCAGCAATGGTTTGGAGCATTGGTAAAGCAAATTAGATTGGAAGATCTACTTCCCAAACTTTCATGGACATTAACAATGATAACACTAGAAGTCCAGAAAAACTTTTTCTTCCCAATGGAAAGGGATCGGCCATGGTCAGGTCGTTTGACCTGATGGTAAAGAGAAAGGCTATGTCTGTGATAGTCTCGTGTACCATTTCCAAAGAATCCATATGTTTCTTTTGCCAAAAGAAGGGACATAGGTTGCGAAGCTGCCCAATTTACCTGAAATTTCATAAGGTTGGTAAAAGTCAAAAGTTTGACTTTGCTTCAGGTAAAGTCCACTATCTAACTCTATTAAGTCTCTTTTTGAGATTCTTGATACATGATATAATGTAATTACATTTTGATGTTTTGGAAGAATCAAAGGAAGCTTAAAGTATGATTATGCTGATTCTGATCGCGAAGATGGATTTCGATCGCATGGTCCGATGATCAGAATTTTGAGCTGCTGCATAAGAGTTATGATATATATATATATTGCTTAGGAATAGACAACAAAATGTTTTTCATATGTATTTGCATTGTAAGGATAAGTTTTTCCGCAAGTTTTAAAATAAAAGAAAATTTTGTTTTTATTTTTTTTTTTTAAGTATCCTTACAATGGCATTTGTGAAAAAAAAATTGTTGTTTATATGTTTCCATTGATAAGCAATATTGGTAAATGGATTTGATTCTTTCATTTGTGGTGGTGTCATAATTTACCAAATAAGGAATGATTCTCATCACCCAAGGTTCAATTGGATAGAAACTTGGAATCATGCAAGTTGTATTGTGTGAGGAATGAGAATTGTCATCTTTGGGAAATTAAGACTAAGACCTTGTTCACATGTATATGTGAGTCAAGTGAAGGACAAAGGGATCGGGTACACTTGGGTGTGCGCTGATCAGGTCCACCACAAAGACTATTCGTCATTATTTACTAAAGTTTAGTAAATATGGTTATGCTTACAAGTTTAAGTGTAATTCTGAAACATTAGAAAGGGTTCAATGTATGACAGAACGGATAAGAAGAATCAAATAAGGCAGTAAGATAAAAGTTTCTCAAATCTGAAGAGATGGGAGAGTATTTGAGTATCTTGTTATATGATTATCTTAGTGATGATGAAACCATATCACAATTGATCCTCTAAGGACACCTTAGTTCATTTGTTTGGCTAAGGAGACGAATCATGAATTGTTGAAATGGTTAAATCAAAAGATAAATCATGCTTCGTTCCAAATCAAATCTTAGAGTCATACTCCAAGATTGAGCCTTGAGTGACATAATCTTAAGAAAGGTTTAAAACACTTGTCAAATGTAGAGTAAATTGTTTTCTTACTCTTGTACATTTGAAACTGGTAAGTTGTGATGTTTTGGATAAAATAAAGACCAACTAAGGCCAATTGTGTGAAGTGTTTGTCTTGATTGGAATCCACACTATCTCTTAAATATTTGGCAAGAGAGTCTTATATGTCAAGAGGACAGTGGGAGTCTAAAAGATCCTGAAATAATTTCAAGAACTAATCAAGAGTATTGTTAATCACTAGCCCACGACCTTCAGTCCATATGTGTTTGGATTTGCCACTGACCTTGTCTTGTGATTATGGTTATGACAAATTCACATGGATATGAACACATACACCATAAAATCTAAGTTTCATAAGGTTTCTCTCCGATTCATGAAAATGATGGTGAGGAAACGTTTTCACTAAGTAGATTTTAGGAAGATAGCAAGTTTAATATTTGCATTCTCAAAGTCGTTAGTGGAGCGCGTGTGGTTAAGCGGCACACTAACATAGACTTGTGAGAAAGGGCCAAGGTCTGAACAATTGAGACTATGATTACGGCATCCCTTTTCATAGTTCTAAAATTGTTTAGACACGCATGTGAGCTATCTAAGGAAAGGTGTATGATTTTGATAAAGTCTTATCAAAGCATCTCGTATCAGAAATCTGAACTTTGGTGAGAAAGTCAATAAAGTATTGATTTCAAGAAGTCCAGCTGATTTCTGGATACATGTCAAAGCTAGTGGAATTTTAATATATTATAAGTTTGTGATCCTCGGCAGTAGCTTTTAAGAGCTACGATTGTTGGTCGGGTTGTGAAGGCGTACTTGCAATAATAGTTATTAGACTTATCCAAGTGGGAGACTGTTCGATTAGTGTCTAAGTCCATAACTATAATTGGTATATACTTGACCCGACCCGGCATGGTCCATTTGGGTTGCATGGCATCATGCATTTGGATAGACTAAAATGAGAGAAATAACACTTAAGGTTTATTAATATATTATAAGTTCTAATATATTAATAAGATTATTTAATTGGTATTGATCAAGAATTAATCTAGAATTAATTAAGTCATCAAAAGAAGACTGATTAAATATATGGGTTGATTGTGTAAATCATCCATACTTGTATAGTGGGCTAAGACTCCATGGATTATCAAGTTGGGCTAAAACCCATAGGATACTCCATGGATGCTCCATGGTGTATTTGAACCCATGGATCCAAAGAAATGGAAAGCCATGACAATTAGGGTTTACCCTAATTGTAACAACTATATAAGCATCTTACTCTTGTGCAAAATGGGTCACTATGTGTGTATGTAGAGGGCAAGCCGATTTCATGAAGTGATGAGTTCTGTCTAAGTTATTCCAAGTGCATATGATGTTGTGTGAACCATTTGCGGTGTCACATTTGGGGCACTAGGCTCTTGAGCTCCATGGAATCAAGCACCAACAAAGATGTATGTATTTCTACTAATTTCTATATTACTTGTACTTCATAATATGCTAGTTTGGATAAATACCTTAGAAATTGATATTTGCATGTATAATAGAGAAAACATAGATCCTAGGTATTTAGGGTTGCATGTACAACATAGGAGTGTTAGAATGCTCAAAACCCAACATGGATAACGTGTGAATGTCATGTTTGCCAAGTCTCAACAAATCCCTAGGATCAACAAGACGAAACTGATTCTTTTTTAGTTTTGATCACCACAGTTGTTGTTGCCTCATGATATAGCCAGAATAAAAGATCATTTAAAGAACCATCAGGTATAGGATGAGAGAGAGGGATCTTTTTCTTTTTCTTTGTAGGAGGCCACATAACGGTTACCATGGTTTTGTTAGTGTGGGGATCGATAACATCCTTGACCTTCTTGACGTATGAGGACATTGTTGTCACGCCTTCAAAGTTATGCTTCGATTTGTCTTCTAGAAAACTTTTAAATGGCCATGCGTTGGAATCATTTGTAGGATTGTGAAAAGGAGCGTGGACTAGCTCTGTAAGATAAACTTTTGTCCAAGAGAAAAAATCAACCTTCTTCTCATAGTATTCAATGTTTCCGTTCCTCCGTTTCACAACCCACATTTTTTTGTCAACTTCAAATCCCCACATGCGAATACCAGAATGATCCCTGTATCTATCAGCAACTTTCCTTAGAACATTTGAGGTTGATCACCACTTGTATTCTGATTAGAATTCTTCATCAGAAGCATTTTATATTTCTTCAGCACTTCTACTTTCTTCTGTTTCTCCCTTCTCTCTTCAGCTATAACTGGGCAAGAAGACAAATTGATCAATGTTGGAATCCGGAGCTAGACTAATCACCACCCGTTTAGATGCCTCAGGAGCATTTCCATCATCAGAACTGGACATCTGGACTTTATCACCAAACTTTCTAATTAGTTTATCTTTGAGATCGAAGTAGAAAGCTGTCAGCCCGCCAAGGTTGGCTTGAAGTTTAGAGATTTGTTTATTCTTATGAGAATTCTCCTTTTCAAGTTTCGAAACTCTCACATCCAACTTCCCAATCAGCAGATCCTTTTCAATGGATTCTTGCTTCAAAATTAGTATCTCTTGTCTGACCTCAGAGATGGTTTTTTGAGAGTCTTCATCACCTCATTGTTCTGAGCCAATAGATATACCGTTTCCTCTTGACTGAGGAATAGAGTCTTGAAAAGCAAGAAGTTTGGCTAGCTTAATAGATGTAACATCGTGCTCTGGACGTGGTGGATCAGATGAACTTCCTGAGGAAAAAACTTCTTCATCAACCAAGAAGTCTTCATCAAAGATTGGCCCTTGTTCATCTCGATCATTTTGGGGTGGTTCAGTGATAGGACTTTGAACAACTTCAAGAACCTGGGCTGGTTCAACGATTAGGCTTTGAACATCTTCACGAACCTGGGTTGGTTCAACGATTGGGCTTTGAACATCTTCACGAACCTAGGTTGGTTCAACTATGGACGCTGACTGTTGTACTGGCTTAGTGATAAGCACTCCCGACCTTGGATCTCTCTGTCTTCGCTTCTTTGGCATCAGGGAGGCATTTGGTTCATCTTTATCATTCTCAGATGGAGATTCAAAAGTAACAGAAACTGCTTGGGGAGGCTTCCTTGCATTTGACTGTAATTCTTTAACAAGCGCTTCCATCTGTTCGGGCGTTGGATTATTCGGTTGCTTGAAAATATTGATTACAGACTTTGTCTCAGCTGGAGTAATCACAGCTTCATTGACTAGCTCCTTCGGTGGAACGAAAAAACGAAAATTCACATCATTATCATCATCATCATTATGATCATCATCATTACCATCATCATCATCATCATCATCATCATCAGCAACTTCAACCGATAAACTTAGATTTGAACCATATGGTGCCACATGGTCTTCTGCCACCATTGCAATTGGAGTGCTAGTAGCTTGAACATTTTCTATCTCAGACAATTTTCCAAATTTGACCAACTCCTTTAAGCCTTGATAGGCGACTTTGGCAAATTTTTTTGATTGTTTCATGATGCCAAAGGTGTTGGGACCCAAGGCTTTCATATCCAAAGTGTCAGATGACCTCTCAATTTGGGGATATTTTTCATTGAAAATCAATTAAAGGAACCTGGGATACATCAAGAATAGGTCCTTCTTCTTCCCCTGAAGGTTGCTTTTCCTTTCTTCAAAGACAAACCTCGAAAATTTATAATCCCAGTCTATTGCAAGAGCGACAATGGCTGAGGTTGCAGTATGACTAATTTCATCAGCTCCTCCCTTCCTTCCAGAAATGCAGATCACAAAGCAATGTGCCACAAACCTCCAGAAAAGTGGCAGCAGTTTCTTGATGGTGGGAGGATAGGTTCCTTCATAGCACATCTTCTCAAGAGCTCCTTTCCCTTGATCAACAGTGTACTCAATTGGAAATACAGATGCATCACCAAACTCAAGTACCTCTCGGATAATTTTCTCATAAACAATTACTTGAGTTCCCTTCACCATTGATTCTACAGCATCAGCTCCATCTGCTACATGTTTGTTGATTGAAGCATTCTTCCAGAACTCAGCAATTATGTCCTTATAGATGACTGGATTAGAAAGCAAGGCATGTGAAATCCTCCAATTGCTCAAACACACGATCATGTACTTGAATTCATTATGCGCGACGGGTGGATCCAAAAGATATCCCACGATGTTGTGAGTATCAACAAATTTCAACTGCTCCGCCATTTATCTAACCAAACAAATTAAGTGAGAACAATAAATTTTTAATTAAAATTTTAAAATTTAATATTTTCTTAATTTAAAGTTTGGTCAATTATTGTAGATTTTGGTCAAAGTCACTACTCTATGTGTTTTCGGTCAAGGTCAAGGTTTTCAGCGTTTTCGGTCAACCACATTTAACCAAACGTTTTCAGTCAACCATGTTGTTTTCAGTTAGCTTAATTGTTTTTCGGGTGGATAAAAATCGATTTCGGGCACATTGAACGTTTTCAGTCAAAGCAAAGTGGTTTTCTGTCGGATCCGGATCAAACCGAAAACCCGAGAAAACTCGACCATTAATATCTTTGACAGTTACGCCGGAAACCACCGTCAACACGCCGGAAAACTCCATTAGCCACCTGCAAAGACTTCAAAAACACAATAAAATGGAAGCACAATGTTTGTACTATGCATACCTAGAGAAGATTTCAAGAAATCAAGTGAGATTTGATGATTTTTGAACCGAATATGGAGGAAATTTTTCTCAACGAATAGCAAGAAATATCGCCTAGGGTTTTGAGAGAAGAGAGAATAGATTTCATTGAATTCGGTGGGGATTTGAAGAATGAAGCCGAAAACACAAAAAAATCTTGTATACCCCAAAAATTGGGTTCTCTGCCTTTTGGCCCACCAAATTCAATGTTAATGGGCTTAATTTTGATTCGTTTCGGAAATTAGAACAAAGACATAATAGAATAGAATAAATGTCAAAAAAAATTACACTCAAAATGAAAATTAAAAAAAAAATCAATAATTTAAAAAAATGAAATAAAATGCCAAATAAAAATAAATTGAAAAATAAAACAAACACACTTTAATAAATAAAATCAAACGTTTTAAAGTTGTTGAGCAATTTAATAACATTTATCAGCACACACCTGCATGAATAGCTCTGGTCAATCACCAATATTGTGGTCCACTTAAACACAAAAGATATTGACAAGTTGGACAGATTATAAATGACAAGACATTGTGATTATATTCCTAAATAGACCATTTTGATGACAACGACCAAGGATATTATGGTCCACTTAAATTCAGCAACGAGATCTACAGATAACCTTTAGTTAAGTCAATTTTAAGTACACTAGAACGTGTATTCCCTAGTTCACGACGTACCCTAGCAATCAAGGAATTCCAAAGAGCTCCTTGCTTTAGGTGAGTGCTCAATTATTTGAGAGAGAAGATAGATATAGAGATTCATATGTTGCGCACCAGGTCGAATCTCTTCTAATCATGCAGAGAAGACAACATATGACTAACATAGACAGAGGGATATAGAGATAGAAAGATGCATATGTTGTGTCCCAGGTCGGATCTTCCGATCACGCAGAGGGGACAACATATGACAGACATAGATAGATAAAGAGAAACATAGATAGAGATGAATAGAAATAGAGGTGCATATGTTGCGTCCCAGGTCGGATCTTCCGATCACGCAAAGGGGGCAACATATGACTGACAGAGAGGATAAGAAAGAAAAACAAATTCACACATACCTACTTTATCAGAACCCCCTAGTCACCCTATCAGCACCAGAATTAACGACATAAGTCTGTACATTGAAGAAGTGTTGAACCACAGTTCTAGATGATAAGTAACTTTAATGTATCTTGTAGGCTCCCTTGTTTATGTCACTACTCAATCTATCCAAGCCTCGTATGGTCAGTTGAAATGAAACTATCTAAGTCCAGATGAGTTAACATTGTCTAGTCCTTTAATTTTGAATCCTTCGTGCCTACCAGCACATTGAACACATAGTTTAAACAATTCATCTTTTGTGCATTACACGCATCTCATATTGCCCTCTAGCACTAAACTTCATATCACTTCCCAAGAATACTTACGAAAGAAAACATTTTTTTTTGTATTTTTTGATTTTATAATTTTTTTTGTATTTTTATTTCTCCCCCTAAATTTGTGCATGGAAAAGAAATTAAATAAAGAAACGCGCAAATTTAAACACACAAAAAAATAGAAAAATAGAAATAGAAATTTAATCTTCGAAACAAATCATTTTTAGAAAACTACAAGCACATCGAAACGAGCTTTACTGAAGGGTTTGGTAAACAAATCTGCCACGTTGTTATCAGTGTGAATTTCTTCCAAACGAATGAGTTTACGCTCATAACAATCTTGAATAAAATAAATTTTAATGTCAATGTGCTTGGTTTTGGAATGTTGAACCGGATTTTTAGCTATTGGAATGGCCGCATCATTATCACAAAAAATGAAAGTGTTAAGAAAGTTCAAATCGTAATCCAACAATTGATGTTGAATCTAGATAACCTGAGAGCAGCAGGCTGAGGCGGCAATGTATTCAGCCTCAGCCGTTGAGGTCGACACCGTTTTTTGTTTCTTGCATTTCCATGACAACAATCGACCCTCTAAAAACTAACATCCACCCGATGTAGATTTACTGTCAAGATCACACCCTCCATAGTTGCTGTCAGCAAAAGCCTATAAATCGAAATCGAGATTTTTAGGATACCAAAGTCCCAGTTTAGGGATACCTTTAAGGTACCTAAAAATTCTCTTAACAACAATTAAATGGAAAAGTTTAGGATTAGCCTAATAACGAGCGCATTGACAGACCGCAAACATGATGTCAGGTCTGCTGGCAGTCATATACATCAGAGACCCGATCATCGATCGATATTCAGTTTGATCTACGGATTCCCCATCTGGATCTGGAGTCAATAGTGGTCGTTCTGCCATTGGAGTTGAAGCAACTTTTGAATCTCTAAAACTGAACTTTTCTAGCATATCTTCCACATATTTGCCTTCATGCAATAAAATTCTGGCCGAATCCTGTCGAACCTATAACACTAGGAACATTGTCATCTCATCCAGCGAGCTCATCTCAAATATTTTCTTCATTAAATCCTCGAACTCTTTGCATATCTCTGTGTTGGTCGACCCAAAGATGATGTCGTCTACGTAGATCCGTACGACAATCAAATATGCATCCACTTTCTTGATGAATAATGTCTGATCGATCGTTCCCCTTGTGTATCCGTGCTCAAGCAGATGTTCAGTTAGAGTAGCATACCAAGCTCTAGGAGCCTGATTCAAACCATATAGAGCCTTGTCGAGTTTGTAAACATGATTTGGAAACTTTGGATTGACAAACCCTGGTGGTTGATAAACATAAATCTCCTCCTTCATGACTCTGTACAAGAAGGTTGTCTTAACATCCATTTGATAAACTATAAATCCTATGTAGGAAGTATATGCTAGGAATACACGAATGGCTTCCAAACGTGCTACATGAGCATATACTTCTGTGTAGTCAAGACCCTCTATCTACCTGAATCCGCGAATAACCAAACGAGCTCTGTTGTGCACAATAAACCAGCTATCATCTTGCTTATTTCTGGAAACCTAATGCGTGTCCAAAGACTTCTTGCCCTTTGGTAGCTCTACCAACTACCATTCTCTCACCTTCTCAAACTGATTTAGTTCTGCATGCCTTGCATCTACCCAGCTTGGCTCATTTAATGCCATGGACACACTATTTGGTTCAATTTGGGATATGAAGCACGAATAGAGACACTTGTTGACTTCTATACTTTGACTCCTGGTCTGAACCCCGCTTTATAGTGGATCAATAATATTATGGATAGGATGATCACGTTGAAATCTGGTTGGGGTAGGATGGCTGGTATCATTTACTCTGACTGGAGAATTTGATGTTGTCAAATCTGCCCGCTGCCGAATCACCTCCTTCAGACTGTCTGTGATCATGAGAAGTACTTGCCACAAATTCATTTGCGAATGGCTCTAGAAAACAAACTCCATGAAGGTTTGCGTGGCAGATTCATTTTCCCTTGAGAGAACCTCAGCTTCTTTGGGATTAAGGGGAGAGGCTTCGGTGTCAGATATAGACTTTTGGACAGGTGAAGAAAAAGATGTATTTGGTGTAGCTGCATCCACCGTAGGAGATTCAGGAATCACCACAGATGGTTTGAATGAGCCAATGACAACATCTTCCTCATCATCTCCAACAGCTACACTTGAACCTGAGCATGTACCTGAAATATCATTAGAAAACACATTAAAATATTTAAATAAAGAAGTGTAATCAAATAACCAATCTGGTCCAACACGCGCGTCCGTTGTGTTTTCTTCCAACCAGCGCACATCAAATGACT